ATCTGATTGACTTAGAGAGTTAATAATTCGAAAAACACCTATTTCTTCTTCTTCTCCTCCTTTCTTCGAGCCGCATGGAGTCGTTTAATCCCCGAAGCTTCAAATGCATTTATCATCGTGCCTCAGCCACATTTGGAGTCTGTTTCTCTCCGAGCTGCTGTTTTCCTGCTGTTCAGTGAGGCTGCCCAGTGGACTGTTTCAGGCTCAGCCACTGACTCTCTGAAACATCTAAATAAAACTGATGGTTGCTACTAAATTTGCATTTAGTTACCGTACTAAAAAATCTGTTAATGTTAGATGTTTTTTTTGTTTTATATATATATATTTTCACATGGACTTACAGAATGTGCTAAACATGGCTATTTTAAATTTGCCTGCAGCCTCATAACTTGGTAAGATATGTTAAGAGCTACATTGTAATAAATAGGTTATAAGTTATATCAAACTATATTTTCAGATACTGCAGAGTTAGCTTGTATCATTATTAACTGATCTTTATTGTTCAAGTGAATTTTTAAAATAGCACACTCCCTCTGCTCTATTTTACACATTTTATAATGACAGCCTATATTATATTGTTAGTGCAAAGTTAGTTAAAATATGCAAAGCTCCATGTTTTTTTATGTCCTCTATGGCTGGACAGTATTTAGGCCTAATAATATCACAAGCATTGTTTTCCTGTGGGGTCGGGTGGGGGTGGGGTGGGGAGGGGGGGTTACTGGAACATGAACTGGCTTCAGTAGCCTAAACGAGGCGATCGATGACTTTTGGACTTTGGACACATCCACCTGCCAAACTGACTGGAGCACTGGTCCGCAAGCGGACCTGTGAGCCAGAGAGTGAATGGCATCTTGAAGCTTAAATGACCGTGATGCATTGTTGCTCACTGGCAGCAGAGTGATCCCTGTCCGCCTGATTGCGCTAATTACTTTGAAATAGGATACATTATGTATAATTATGCAGAGCTCGGCCTGGGCTGTGCCGACTGCTTCTTTCATCTCTCTGAGCTGCAGCATAAAAGTCGCTATCAAATCAACTTAAAATCACCAAAATGTTCCTCAGATTATTGCACCACACCTCACAACTTTGACTAACTTCATCATTAATGACAGTATAATTTAATGTCGCAAATTAAAAATGTGACCAAGAAGGAGTTATACTCACATGTGCGGTGTCATTGTCCCCAGGCGAAAGTCATTTACTGGCACCAAGTGCAAATATTTTGCCTGAAAATGCCTTTTGACATCCACGCTGCCTTTAATGTCTTTACAGTCTAAATTGACAGGGTTGCATGAAAAGGGTTAAGACAACTTTCAGAGGAGTCAACAATGGGCCTTTGTGCGGAGTCCCTGCCTCCTGACTGGGAATCAAAGGTAGTTTATAAAGTTAAATAAAGGCCCGATGAGCCTTACAGTTGTTTTGTATCTCAGCTCGGCCCTCATTTGTTGCCTCGGGATTTAAATAAAACGCTATGGTAATCGTCTTCTCCATGGCATATCAGTCTTCTTAAAGGCCAGTGTTTGGCATGCTAATTGCCACCAGCATTGTTTTTCAGGACCACTGTCCCTCTGTTCCGCAGACAGATAGACTGGAGACTTGGATACTGCAAGAACCAAGGGCCACAATCAGGTTAAACAGATGTTCATTAAAACCAACTTCTGCTTGCGATCATAATCATATCATCCACTAGGCTATAGATGGGAGGGGAGACAATGGTGGAGTGTGAAGCAGGCATCATTAGTTTAGTGATCAAATCATAACACACCGGTGTGTGCAGAGGGAATCATAATAATAATCACAGCGATGCAGCGTTTCAAGAGCCAAACATCAGTCTGATTTATGGGTTTCTGAACATCCCCACAAAAATTAGCAGGCTACGCGTCGTTGCCAAACAGGGCTCTGTTTGCCTATTTGTGTTTGCAGGCTGGTTTAACGAGTCGCTGTTGGAGGACGGGTTAAGTGTCTGAACCCCGGGCGGAGTGGGACTTCAGACGGACGTGGGAGCCCGGAGACTCTCGGTGACTTCAAAGCTTTCGGAGCAATGCCACTCGTTTCAGGTTAGAGGCTTTAAGTGTTTCCAAACACGATGCAGCTGCACACGGAGCCTGTTACCTGCTCACACACACTCACTCACTCACTCACGCACGCACGCGCGCGCACACACACACACACAACCGGATGTGCTGCCGAGGAAATGATGAATTAAGACGTGTGTGTTAAGTTCTTAGAAACCGAGTGGAAACAGGTTATCTGTTGCAACACAATTGAGGATCACCTGTGACCCCATTTAAATATGAATGAACCGGAAATCAATCTGTTGTTCAAGACATATTTTTTAAAAGAATAATGGTAAAATAACTTTTAATTTGAAACACAATCAACACTCTAGGCTTTATTTTATTGTGGCTTATTTTAGACCTTCTTTTCTTTGCTATACTTTCCTTAAAATGATCATAGTGAAATGGCCTCTCATGCAGCAGCCTATTTCTTAAATCATGAACGAGCACCCTCACCAAGTAGCAAATGATTTACCTTATCTTGTCATCTATATTTGCTCATACATGCTAAACAGTGAGGTCCACCTGCGTCAGTGGTAAATCATGTGTCACCTTGAATCTTAATAACATTGTTCCAGTGCAGGAAGCTATTTCATATTTTTTCAGACTTCACCACAACAAGTTTAAACTTCAAGAGGCATTGGATCCAAAATTGAGGTCCGCGGTACCTCTGCGGTCCTGGAGAGGGACTGCATTATGACATCCCTTTCTATGGCTATAGCACAGTGGATAGATGATGAGGCTAAGCGGTTTGAGGTCTCACACTCCCCAGGGTGTCCAACACTCCAGATAGCCCTGCGCAAAGTCATAACAACAAACACCTCCGCAGACTGAGATCATGTGCTCTAATGTGTATCTTGGGAAACGCATCAAGGAATCCTTTTGAGTAAACGGGTTCTCTGAGAGGAACTAGTGGGCGCTGACCTTTTCTTCTGAGGAGCCTACTATTACACCGACTATAGCGCTCATTTGAATAGATGGAAATGGCGTGCGATCGGCTGAGAAAAAGCTAATTTTTCAGGCTGAATGGCTCAGTGTCCCTGGGCTAGGGCGGGTATAGAGGAGGAGGTGGAGGAGGCGGTGCTGCGCTCTCGGTGCGAGGGGTTCAACTTCTTCAATAGTCTCGCTAAAAGTCGAGCGCTTTGATCTGGCCGCTGCTGGCGCCTAAAAACAACATAACTTGTCTGCGCATTAGGGAGACTGACAAATCGTGACAGATTGTTTATGCCTGGCAATTAGCGACGCAGACGCTTCCCTGAGAACTGACGACACCGCAAAAAAAGGTGATCTGTTTACATGTCCTTACGATTCCTGAAGCCTATTTTAAACATAGCATTTATTGCAACAACATTATTGGATATGAAATCAAACTTTACGCCTGCATCCTATGATAAAGGACATGTTTCCATATAGATTTAGTGATATATTTAATGCCCTCCTTTTAGGGACTGTAGATAATGATAAGGTAGGCTACAAGAGGTACAGCCAGGTAAATCAATGACAGTCCTGGGTTAAATCCCTCCCTGGCTCCAGGTTGCCTCCTCCCTCTTGCCCCCCCGGACTCCACATAATTTTTGACTTTAATGGATGTAGTCAAAGGAGGAAAAAAATCCCAGTGACCCCCCTCCACCCAAAGCCCAATAATTACCCCTAAATGACAGCGAAGGCCTGTGTGTTTCAATCTGATTAGAGCCCCGCAGCCATCAATAAACAGCGCGCTGCAAGAGGTTCATCACATAACGAGGGGCAGTAAAGTGTTGTGCAACATCCAAGGCTCACTACAGCAGGGTATGTATGCACACGGCTCAAGTCCTGATGTGGGTCGAACTGAATAAAGCTTGTCCAAATGTTTGGGGCAGAAAAGTTATCAAACATGGTGTAAACATGGTGAGTAATAATAGAAATAATGCACATGCCTACAGTCATTAAAAATGTCAGGAAGTTAATGGAAGGATAATTATAGGGGATACTTTCGGGTAAAAGATCATTTGTGGGATTTAGTCTTGGACTTTGTTGTGTTTATGTTTATCTGAAGTTGGTTTTAAAAAAAAGAAAAAAAAGTAACTATTGTTAACTTTCCCACTCTGATTTTTTTTTCCTTGAGTTTCACAGGGGCCAGCCCATCTCACCCCTGATTGGCTGCCTCTCTCTCTACGCCTGCCTTATTATAGCCCTGCACTCCAATTTGGTCACATAAACATGAGGATACCGTCACCTTAGGGCGCACCGCAGCAACTTTTTTGTAACTCTTTTGCACGACACCCACGAGCAGTCCCTTCACCACCAGTGCCAGTCGGACCTGTATGGCCCCATCGATCGCCATGTCAGCTTTGACCGCTGGTTTGAAAACTGAAGACCTTCCTCCCCGCTCGGCTCTCGTCAGCAGAGGCGAGATGCAGACCAGCCTGAGTCCCGCAGAGGAGACCGGGAAGCCCAAAGTCGCTATTCTGCCCTTCAGCGTCGAGGCACTGATGGCGGATAGGAAACCCAGCAGGGAGGTGCCATCCCCGGATTCCCCATCCGTAGCCGGGACGTCCCAAGCGATGGGAAAGAGCGCACGAATGGGCTCTTTTGGTAGTCTGGATACTTCACTTCCTGCTTTACCAATGAGCTCCTCGTTTTCAGTAGGCGAGATAATGAACATGCCAGAAGACGTGCTGATTAAACCCGAGAGCCCGGACAGTAAAGAGAGGACTTCATGGATACAGAGTCCTCGTTTTTCTCCTACACCTCCACGTAAGTTAAAGCTGTGGTGTCAATGCAATAGATTAGAAAAAATATTAATATCCACGCTAAATATATGTAATGTTATGTTCTTAGTCGTAAATATGTCAGGACTTGTGTGGGAAATGGTTTCTTTCATAGTCAAGGTGTTTTAAATATGAGAACTTTGGACCAAGATGCTCTTTGTCTTGCGTTGGTTTGGCATTAAGCATTGTATGCATGTAATCCAAGGTTTTAAGTGGAAGCGTCTTGTACTCTTACAGGAAGGTTGAGTCCTCCTGCCTGCCCTCTGCGAAAACACAAGACGAACAGAAAGCCCCGGACCCCCTTCACTACGTCCCAGCTGCTGGCCCTGGAGAGGAAGTTCCGCCAGAAACAGTACCTTTCCATCGCCGAGCGCGCAGAGTTCTCCAGTTCCCTCAACTTGACGGAGACTCAGGTCAAAATCTGGTTTCAGAACAGGAGAGCCAAAGCCAAGCGGCTGCAAGAGGCAGAACTTGAAAAACTGAAAATGGCAGCTAAGCCTATGCTGCCTCCAGCTTTCGGGATTTCCTTTCCTCTCGGTGCGCACGTCCCCGCTTCCTACGCAGGGTCGCACCCGTTCCAGAGGCACTCGCTGCCGGTTTCCCCCGTGGGACTGTACGCGGCTCACGTCGGATACAGTATGTACCACCTCGCTTGACAGGGAACGCAGGACGAGGGGTTAAGACTACTTTCTCTGAGAGCCCCAAACGCGAGGTGGGTGGGTGGGTGTGGGGGTCAGATGGACAGGTGAGGTGACACTGTAGTAAATACAGAGGCATCCTGGCGGTGTGCTCAATGTCACATCTTGTCAGGGGAGCCAGGACCTCCTAATAGACCCCCATCTGAGGACCTTGAAGTTTTTCCTCTTGACCTCACCAGTAAGTTCACACACTGCAAAAATAATCCAGCTTTATTAGTCATTTAATCTTGAGTTTTAAATATGTCTTTGTCAGTGGACCTGGAAATAATAATAATAATAGCAATCACGAGCGCAGTGATGGTAGAAATAAGATGAGTGTGAGACTAAATGACTGTAAGATGGATATTTTTGCGGTGCAGAGGTGAAGAACAACTTAGTACCTGTAGGCCTATGGTATATCACTAATGGACAGTCAAGTATGGACAGCAGACTGTGTGCCACAGCGCGTCAAAGATAGCCCACTATTTGCCTCTACTGCTGCTTACAGCCAGGTAAAAAAGGGCTATTTCACAAGCCTCTATGATTAGGTAACAAGACTATTGCGCAGCTTGAAATTTTGCACCAACAAACTTAGGTTGGGCTTTCATCGCATTTGTGGGATGCTGTCACACTGCGAGATCCATACTTCTTTATTTGTTTGCATTCATATCAATGCGTAACTATAGTGGGTTACCGAATCCAGTGTCCATGAATGCTCTTTGTGAATTTGGAGAACCACAGCATTTGTTTTTATGACAGCACTGTCTGTTGTTGGAATGATTCCCTTCGGAAGGGATATGTGTACTGTAAAATAATGTATATTTGAAGAATATCCTCATTTATATTATGAATATATTTGTGACATAACTTAACAATAAATTGTTTATTCTTTTTCATTAAGAAGTTTTTCGTTTTGACTGACACTTGCATGGTGCCTGCTGCACCAAAATCTGCCTGTTTAATAGTCTTTACCCGTGCTTGAAAAATCTGTTTTCTAATGTTTAATGAAAACTGAAGGAAATACTTTGTAGGCTTTTTTAAAATTCTTTATCTATTTTAGGATTAAGTTTAGGGCTGTTGTGAGTGGGGTGACTATTTGCCTATAGCGTCAACAAGAAGAAGTGGATAGTTATTATCAGGCCTGTTAAAGCAGGTTAAAAAAAAAAACATAAAAATAGGAACATTGATCAGCTGGAGTGCAGCAAGACTTAAATATAATGCTTTTTAGAATTGCATTGAGATATAGGCCTAAAGGCTTCATGTGACCCACATCGTATCGATGCTACTGTCCACATTCCTTCAGATTGTCGCCAGGTATTTACATTCAGACCTTTCACACTTCCTGCGCACATGCGAAAGACGCGCATATCTGGGCCCCGCGGAGCTGCTGTGCACTGTGAATTTAAACTTGTCACATGTTATTTTGGTGGAATGTATTGCTACAGCTGTTGCCTATTGCTTTGAAACAACTAACCTAGATTTTGTTGGCGCCAGAAGAGTTTAGGGGCGGGGGTGGGAAGAGGGGGTGGGGTGGGGGGGACAACCAGTTGTGCTGACTTCAAAACACACCGATAAATATTGGAGATTGCTTCTCCGAGCTAAATTGCTTGTAAACAATCCACTAGAGTGCCATTATGGGGTGTTTAGGATGTAAAATGAGTTAGGTGACACCCCATTATGGAGAAGACAAGGTGTTAGGACCCATGTGCCAATCCACATCTAAACATATTACATGGAGCACATAAAGAAAATATTTGAACCACCTGTGGGATGAACTTAGACTTTAATGACAAAACAGGGATCAGATAGGGGAAAATTACAGGCCACTCTGCAGCAGTTTTAAAGGCTTTCTCTTGACTCCTCTGCTATTCAGGCAGGGGTTAAACTGGAGTAAAATAATTGCTGTAATGAGCAAAGGCAATCTGCCGCAGACTGAGGCCGGCTCCAGCGAGGCTGTAGCTCCAGGCAAGGCGGAACTTTTATCATTCCTAAAATGTCAACGGGGGACTGGGACGGGCAACACTTCTCTCTGCACTGTGATTTCCTCCTCAGCGCCGACAGGCTGCTGTCCTAAACAAGGGCATGGAAGTCCTGATTTATTTTCACACACATATATTTTTCAATAATTAGTTGTCAAGTTTTTGTTTTTTTTGTATTGCGTCAGTATGAAATTAATTTAAATCTAGAGTGTTTTCTTATGTCTACTTTAATCCATGCTGAATGTTGCCCAACCAAAAGCCATATTTCTTTATTTCCTATTTTCTTTGGTGAATTTTCCTCCGCTCCACTTTATCCATGAAACATGAATTAATACATAATCCCTGACGATAAGTGGAAATCACACGGATGGATTCTCTATCTGAAAAGAAAAAGAAACTTAACACAAAAGACCAAAGGGGATTCGTCTATTCTTCTAAACTCTTTCATTCTTTTGTCCCCCCCACCCCTCCTCCTCCGCTCTCCATCTTGCCAGGAGCCACACAGAAAACAAAACTCACTTGTTTCTATCATCCAAAAGATCACAGGAGGCAGTTTGATTCCGTAGTCAAACCCCTTGATCCTCCAGAAAAGAGAAATGGCTCATAAAAAGCCTCCTCAGATAAAGAGTATTAAAGAAGACGCTTACTGGATGTTTAATAGACCTTTAACCTCCATTCAGGACGTGTAGACGATGCGTTATTGGGCTTTTTATGAGAGGAATTAACAGAAAGCCCATTAAGAAAGTTCGCCAGTAATTTACCAAAGGTTCATCTGTTTTAATCCTTAACAAATAGGCCTAGTGTTGTGATGTTAGAAAAATGTCAGCTCTTCTGTCACAGGCCTACAGCTCAGACGAGATCAACACTGACCACGCTTGGGATGAAGCCACCAAAATTAAAAACGCTTTAATGCAACGTATATAATCATATATATATTACAAATACAGATCTTAATATTTTTCTGTTAAAACTGCAGGTCGATTCCTTTATAATCTTTTTTTTTTCTTTTTTTTTTCAACACCCAAATACATTTTGAAACCTTTATGATACCTGATCATTAAGCTTCCTTCTAAACCAATTACTCATGATTTTACCATAAATACAATGATTTGACACGCGAGTTCACTGAGTCATGGCCTTTAGAAAAGCACTGACGTTTTTGGTTCTTTACAAATGATTCGCCTGAACTCTGAGACAGACTCCATAAATGTTTCATTTAAAATTTTATTAGACTTTAAATGTAGAAATTATAGCCTATATTAATATATTGGTCTGGCTGTTGAAAGTCGCAAATCTGTGTGTTGTCATTTTATGTAAAATGTTGGACAAAGTGTTGCCAGTGTTTAATCGTTCCAGTAATAATTTAACTTTTTCGAAAAGGTTAATATCCATTTACTAAAAAAAAAACACTAAACACGTTCATTATTAAAATGTGGGAATAACTAACCATTTATAAGCCAAAATCCATAAAATTTGTAAAAGCACAAGTTACTTCAACAGTTTTAAAATACCACACCACCACCTTCTGTTCAGAGCCGGAGTGACATAACACAAGTTCTTTAAATAAAAAGTTATAAAGTCTGATCCAACTAACTAAACTAAAGCTAAACTGAAAGTCTCAATGAATTTGGAGTGTAATTCATTATGTATTTTGAGTTAGACCTACTTGTTGCTCTCTAGACTGCAAGAATAATTTATTTTAGGCAGAATAAACCACATCATTAGTAATTGACTTTGAAATATTTTCTGAAATATTTCCTGTAAAAAAAAAAAAAAAAAAAAAAAAAAAGGAGAGCCGTCGCTGGTCCTTCTGAAATATTGAGAGCATCTCATCTTCTGAACGTGTCTTAGAGTCACGCGAGAAAAGACGCATTTTCGATTAAATTATCATCAGATTTTTTACAAATCTGTTTAATTCTGTTTATTTCAGAGTCCAAGTAGATACAAGAGAAGACCTGGACTAAAATAAATTCCTTCGGCGCAGGAAAATGTTTTCAATTTCCATTTAAAATATAAACTAATACCCACATTTAACCATCGCAGACTGTATTAACCTGAACGCACAACCATGTCCTTGCTGCAACTACAGATGCAGTAGGAGTCCAGTCATGCCACAGGCCTAAATATTATTAATAATGCAGGATGGATGTTGTAAATTAGTGTTCAGTCTCAGCAGAGATAGCCATCATCATCAATTTCTTGCGGCTGCCTTTACCAAAAAAGACCTATAAAAGCAGTCTCCTGCAGAAAACCAGATGTCCTCATACAGGGAACTTACAGAAATGTTACAACTATATGATGTTTAAAACTCACCATGAAGTCAGTTTTGAGACTATCACACAGTGAACGTCGATTTTAAAGAAAGGATTTAAATACATTGTTGAGTTGGACATTGTAGATAGCGTGACACCAACAGGCCTTTACATGCTGACAGTCAATAGGAAAATACAGGAAGTAAAACTCTTGTTTTAACCTAATCTGTTTATCAGCTGGAAGTTATGATTGTGATAAAGGTGTTGCCAACTTAAAACGGATTCAGTAATGAAGAATTAAGGTTACAACCCTTTTCACTTCGTACTTATGTGGCATGTAAAGTCCACTAGAGGGCAGTATGTCTGTTTTTTTTTTTTGGTTGACCTGCGTTCATGACCAAACTCTGGCCACTATACACTATTAGGCTGAAGTTATTAAGCACAGAGATAGCAATAGAGTCACCACCCATGAATGTATTAGCCTATATAACTCTTAATAACTGCATTCAGCTTGATGAACAGTCCTCATTCACTCCCACTCTGCTATTAGAAGTCCTCCAATGACCCTCTATTGAATAATTACTTCAACGTGTAAATCCATGGAACAATTGTGCGTTTATAAGGTACATTTACTGTTGACAGGAGAGGCAGCTTCAGCCTAATATGTGAGACTTTTGAATCTCAGTGCGGGTTGAACACTATAAGGCAGGCCTCCATGCACAGCAGATTTACTGAGCAGCGTAATTACAACAAGTGTGGAGTGTGTGCCAATCATCTATTGGAAATTAAGGGGGA